GCTTCAGGCTGTGACTGACAGTTGTTTCCTCACCCTCAACAACTCAAACACAGGAAGCCAACACATAAAAAGGGCTATTAGAAAAAGGCAACCCACCTACAGAAACAATAAAGGCAGAGATTAAAAATTTGATTAACGCGATGAAAAGCAATGTGACAAATGACTAATTAATTAATCGCAATTAACGCGATAATTTAACACCTCTAGAAACAATAGTATATAATACATCTTTCCTTATGTAGCGCTTTCACAACAGGTAAGGACAGATCAAAGGAAATTACGGCAGGAAAGCAAAAGATGAGCAAAGGAAATGAGAAAGGAAGGTGAGACCACTTATGACGACGATCTCGGTGAATGGGTGTCGGGTGTCCAGGCCCCTGAATGGTTGGGCGGTAGGGGTGTCACAGGGGGTGGAAGGACACTCCTAACTTTAGTGTGACCACCGTCAGCTTCGCAAAGCAGACCTCCCCGTTGCTGATGAACATTCCTTCTCGGGCACAAGCAGGTACAGGTACGATGTCCCCACCGATGTGAGCGTCCATCTACAAGCAGCCGTGGTAGCAGGGAATGGGCATTATTGCATTTGTTCCCCAGGCCTTTCAACTTTGACTGTTTTCATAAAAGAGAATCTATTATGTTTCAGCCAATTATTATATTAAGTATTCGGGCTGATCATGCAAGGCCTTACAGAATGTTGTGTTTTATGAGGGTCAACCAGTTCAGGGTGTCCCCCGACTACTGCCCGTAAACAGCTGGGATAGGCTCCAGCCTGCCCGCGAACCTCGTGAGGATAAGCGGATTAGAAAATGGATGGATGGATGTTATTAGGTGAGAGGCAATATCAGCAAAGCATTTTGATATATATTTGAGCATAAACTAACAAGACTACAAAATGAAGACAGGAAACTGTTGGAAATAAGCTAATCGTTTAATAATTTAATTCGCCAAAATTAGAATTTAGGTTGTAAGTAAAAGTCTTTTGATTCTGATCTTGTTCACTTTGTTCCCTTCATTGAAGCAGACACACTCATCATGGTGATTCTGGTGACAACCATCAGCATGATGGCGATCTTGGCCTTCTCTGTGTGTGTCATTCCACAATGTGTGAGGTGAGAATTCACATTCCTTTTCTTCATGTGCAATGAAAAGCTCCCCTGTACCTTTCCCTTAAATCTGGCATCCTACTGTTTCACCATGCAGAGTGAAAAACTTCTTTTGGCCACCTATTCCAAAACCACGCATCATCGGCATTGACCCGCTGCTTTTGAAGGTAACGCAAGTTCCATCTTCTATGTGTCCTCTGTCTTCTGCTCACCACAGGTGGCTTACAAACTCACACTCTATATTTCAGTAAGTACGGTATATTTTAAAGTAAAAGTACTGAGTCGACTCATTTAAAAGGGCGAGGCGGGGGGTAGTGTTAAAACTGCTAGCAAGTCTCTGACGCCCCTCACTAAATGTGCATGAGCACGATTGTTACACATGGGCATACATAATGGCATGTGATGATGAAAATTTGTAGTTGTGGAAATAGTCACAGAGAGCACATATCTTGTATCCACAAATTAGCAGCGCTAGCAATAATAGGCTTGCGACATTGCGGCTGCTATGTTCCTTGCATGCTCATTCGGAATGCAGTGTTACCATGACCATAAATGCAATCGGTTTGGAGTTTTATTTTTTGGAATGTACAGTCAATTAAAGCTCAAAAGAGGTGATAAATGTGCCTCTCGGGCAGAAACGTTGCTAGCTTCGCATTGCTCCTGAATCGTCTCTGCTCTCTGAGCTCGATTTCCTCTGCTTCTGTATGCTAGTATTTTGCCCAGTTAGAAATCTAATTTGAGGCACAAGATGTAGCCAGAGATGGCTGATTTTTATTCACATGGTCATTTAATTGTCAGTGAATATACTGTAGATTATTGCAAAGTATTCCTCCTCCTGTGAGTCAGAGAGAGAGAGAAAGAAAGAATGAAAAAACATCACTGACATCTTGAGAGACTTTTTGATGTCCATTCAATTTGCTTCCCACTCTGCGTCCTCAGAAGGGGAACTTGGATGAAATCAACCGCCACCTGACTAATTTCCATGGCTTCGTAGCTCCCAGCTTCCTGGATACCGAGGTATGGGAGCAGGTGAGCCCTGACAACATCTATCTCGCCACGGCCAAAGACTGCCCCAATCCCACCAAGTCACCCAGCCAGGTGACGGATGCCTTCACCATCCCACACGACTTGGCACCCACCACAACTCTTCATCAACTCGTGAGCGAGCCTCCAACAGCATTCATGCCAAGCGCATACTGCATGTCTCCTCCTCAAGCCTTCTCGCCAACCCTGTGGCCAGAGAGCAATTACAGCATGACGGGACAGCCAAATGCACCGCCACCTGCCCTCTCTACTACCTGCCCCCCGCAGAACCTCTACAGCTGTGTGCAGCTCATGAACGACATAGATGGGCTGCAATTGGTGCCGTGCCTACCACCGGTCTATAGCGAGCTCCCGCCACTGCCCGAGTCTAAATTACATGCCAGCGTAAAGGAGGAAGATGAGGAGAAGCTGGCAGACGGCCAGGCCAAAAAGAAAGATGCTGCTTTAGCTAATGAGAGCTGAGCGGATCACAAGATGCGCAGAACCACAAACACAATTGGATTTGGTGGTTTAAAGGAACAAGTTAACTTCTTTCATCTCTTCTGCCATCAAGAGGTCCACAACAGTGGAGACAAGAAGACATTTGTTGTTGTTTTTGTGAATCATGCACCACTTGATTCTCAGAAAAAAAAAATCGGAATCAAATTCGGAAATGGAGTTTTGCGAGTCCCTGAAGCAGGAAGCCTGTTCCAACATGACATCAATTGGCATCTGGATCTTAATTGGAATCGGAAGGCTTCCAAAAGTCGGAAACTGATGACAGAAGTGAAACACCTCCCTCTCCCGTCCACAAAGGTGCAAAAGAGGGACCCTGCCCAGCTAGTAGATAACGTAATGATAGTTAATCTATTTTCATTTGTGATGTGTCATTGGGAAAATACCCCTCAGGTCTCTATCTCCCAGTCAACAAACATCATCGATGGGCCCTTAATGATTCACTAAGCGCCCCAGATTTCACATCCCTGTTCACAATGTGCTTGGTTTCATTGTAAACTATCAACCACGGTTCTTTGAAGGTTTTCAATGCTGAGTAACCAGATTGTGTTTTGTGTTAATGTGTTATGTAATACATTCTATTTCCAAAACATGTTTGTGGAGAGGAAGAAGAGATTGTACATAGTGCCTATCTGATATTATAATTATAATGGATGAGGAAAACTACAGTATGACTTTTCCCCTTTGGTGTGGGTCAGACAATCAACCAGCTCACCCACAAAGAGATCCTGCTGCTTTTCATCCAGAGCATGAGAAGAGCAGTGGTAGGACAACTCATGTTGCTTCAACATGACAACACAACTGCTCACAATGACCTGAGCATCTGACAGTTCTTGGCTGAGAAGAACATCAGCCCTGCTGGACCAACCTCCCTTGTCTGTACTCACCCAACCCGGTGGTTTTTCCTCTTTCCCAAGCTCAAAGAGACCCGTTTTAAGACATGGATAACAGAGGTTCATGAAGGTGTGGTTGAGAAGGCTGGGAAAGTGTGTTAGACTCCAGGTGGATGACTTCCAAGGAGAACATTTGCAGTTTGGATTTGAAATATACTGTAACTTTTGGAACACCTCATATGTTGCGACTGCCTTTCTTTACAAAGCATCTTTAGGCGGGCTTATTGTAAAGGGCAAATAAAGATGTGCCACAGTTATTGATGCGTACAGAGGTATATGCCAACCATTAGATTGTGGCTGCATTTAGATTATAAACAACAGACAATGTTGTCAGCTGACTGACAAAGACTGTGTTGTTCCTTTGCGACACGAGAAACTCTGTTCCCAGAAGGCAGATAAGAACTGACCAAATTAGAATTCTCGCTCAGCTACTGTGTTAACCTACTTGTGGAAATGCATTTACCAGTAATGTTCCATGTAGCTTGAAAGGCCCAGTTCCCCAAACGAAACTCTCCACCTTTAATGGTATGACTAAGTAAAGAAAAAAAGAATTGCTAGTCAGAAAGGGCAGATGGAGGGACAAAGAAATTCAAAATCTGATGTAAAACCATCAGGGAGGACAAGGAGGTGAAATTTCACATCAAAAGGAGAAAAGATGAAAGATGGTGGTTGCTAATGAAACAATTAGTCCTGTCGAGCGGTTAAAAAAATGGTGATTAATTAATTAGGTCTGTAATTAATCTAAATCTATATTTTAATCTCATCTAAAAATTACTGAGAAAACCCCTATTTTCATTTTAAATTCGTTACATTATTGAGGCAGCTCAAAAGATAAAAGAAAAAGTGGCATAAAGTATTTTATTGTTTTTCAGCAGACTTGGACAGATGCAGTCCTAGCCATTTACTTTCTGCTGTATTTGAGACTAGTCAAAGTCCTACCTGCAACCTTTCGCTTCGACCACGAGGGGGAATATCACTGTTTTGTTTGTTTTTGTAAATCTCCAAAGAATTACAAAATAAAAATAAAATAGAACATCAGGTCCTTAAAAAGTGCTTAGGGTAACATATCAAAAACAGTAAGAACAATTTTCTGAGCATTACAAGTACTCAATACTGAACTTGCTTCAGACAATAAACAATAAATAAATCAGACCCTTAAATCGCAGTGCTGTAAGTTAGAACTTCAGAAATAACACTGTTCATCATGACAAACTAAAAGTGATGAAATAAACATCAATCACTTCT